GGCCGACACAGCACCCCCCCCCCCCCCCATCAGGGCACAGGACAGAGCACAGGGCTGGCCAGTCCCTGCCATCCTTAATGACAGCGTGGCCCACTCCCGAGGCCCACCTGCCTTCCCTCACCCCTGCCGTGGCGCCCTCACCTTGCTCCGCACATGCCACGGCTGACCACAGGAGCAGGAGGGCCCCTTGCATCATGGATGGTCAGGCTGGGGGGCAGAGGAGTAGCCTCAGCCACAGTCCCCTTCCTGCCCCTGCCCAGCCTGGACACCCTGTGCCGTTCGCTGCCTCCCCCAGGCTCTCAGGTCCCTTGTCCCAGGCGGGGTCTGTGTCCCAGGGAGCCTCATGTCCCCAGCACACACACCTTTCTGCAGACCCTGAGGGAGGGCAGGGGTGCCCAGAGGCCTCCTGGCTCTTGACTGACTCTGAAGCCCCGACAGGAGGCAGCGGGGCCACACAGCCAAGGTGAGGACCTGGAGCCTGCCACCTACGGTTCCCCCAGCCAGCCTCAGCCTCCGTCCCAATGCAGCCTCTTCTTCACCTTTTTAAAGACAGAGAGAGAGAGAGAGAGAGAGAGAGAGAGAGAGGAGAGAGACAGTGAGAGAAAAGTGAGAAATCACCTCCCAGGGCAGATGGCCACACCATCCTCCATCCTCTTGGGATTTGGATCATGCGTGCACATGTGTCCAGCACGCTGGGGCTGAGACTCAAACCACGTGGGATCCAGCTTCCTTAACCACTGCGCCGTCTGCTGGCTCTGTGTTTTCTTCATCTAGAGGACTTCCAGAGCGGGACACAGGGCTCCACATGGCAGGGGACGTGGGGACAAGATTCGGCCCCTGGCTTGGGGACACAATGGCTGGGGGAGAGACCCAGAAGTCCCTGAGCTCCTGAAAGGGTGAGGCTGAGGCCTGAGAACAGGACAGTTTGTACTGTCAAGTTGGTGTTCCGTGAAAACAAAAGCCGTTAATGCCCACGCCTGGCCCTGGCCCTGGCCCTAGGGTGTTCACCTGGGCCTTGGTGGGCCTTCCAGAGCGTGGACTGCTCAAGGTGTCCAGAGCCCTCGCTCTCCCTCCAGTGCCGAATGCCTGCGTGTCTTTAACATGACTAGGTCAGACACTGATAAAAGTACAATCTCACAGAAAAATATCCAACAAACAAAAATTCAAAAACATTTTAAATGTACATGCTCTTAAAAAAGTTCTTTTTCTGTTTTTAGTGGGTGAGGAAAACGCCACTTGTCTAAATGTTTAGGACGCAGTGACAGGTGGCCGATCGAGGAGAGCGTCCATCTGTATGTGCTTGCGTGAGGAAGCGTAACGGCCAATATTCTGTGCAGGGATTCAGAGCTAGCATTTCCCACTTTGAAACAATTTTAGACTTACAAAGAGTACGAGAATTATTCTGTGTCCTCGTCATAGATTTTCTGATCTTAACTGTACCGAACGAGAGCACCAGGGCCCAATCGCGTTAGCACCAGCACAGTCTGCCCAGCCTAGACCTGGCCACCCGCCACTGTCCGCAGCACCTCGTCCAGCCTGGCCCCCAGCTGCGCGCATGGCTCTCCATCGGCCAGACGCTCGGACGCTCAGTCCCCGTTAGCCCGCGCCGGTGGCAGTCCTGATTGCTGTCGTAATCGCAATACTTCTGACGAGAAATGGCCAAGGCTTTGTAGAAACTCCTCTCGCCTGGGCCGCAGTGTGTGTGTACATATATATACAGCGGGCGAGGAAGAGGCAGCTCGCTCTCTCTGGTCTCTGTCCAGCCGCTGTCGGTGCGTAGTTCTCCACCTGCGCCTTGACCTCTCCTGTCCCACAGGGAGAGCCCTGGCTGCGGCAAAGTCGACGTGTATTAGCAGTGGGATTTTAGTACGCATTTCTTTGGGTTTGTCCTTTTCCCCTGGCTGCGGCAAAGTCGACGTGTATTAGCAGTGGGATTTTAGTACGCATTTCTTTGGGTTTGTCCTGTTAGGGGCTCACTGAACTTTCTGAGTACGTAGGCTGTAGGTTTACATGTTTTCCAAAGTTGGAGAATTGTCAGCCATTGTTTTTCCAAACATGTGTCTGCATTTTCCCTTTCCTCTCTCCTCCTAGGACACACCTATATCATGCTGGGCTCTCTGGCTTTGTCCCTGAGGCTCTGTTCATTTCTTTTCAAAGATCTCTTTTCTTTGTGCTGTTCAAAATGGATCATGGCTATGACTCATCCTCAAGTTAACTGACTTTTTCCTTTCTCATGTCCATTCGTTGAACCCGGTGTGGAGTGCCAGGGACTCTGTTCATGCCCTGGCGCCCACTGCCAGGGAGTGCGGTGCCTTGGGTCAGAGGTGTGCCTCACGGCACAGTGGTTATGTGCTGGCTCTTCTTGGCCAGCTCCCTACGGTGGGCGTGGGCCGAACCTCGGGCCCAGTCAGCCGGAAGCACGCTGGGCACACGTGCAAGTGGATCTGGAACTACACTCAAGACTTTCTCGACATGCAGGTCATGTTAAAATAAAGATTCTAGATAAACTAAATTTAACAAAACTTAATTGAGCGAAGAGTAATTCAGGCTGGGCAGCCCCCACAGCTGTTCCGAGGACCTTACGGACGAGAGAAGGAAAGGAGGCCCAGGAAATGGAGGAGAGGCGGCGGAGCAGCTGGCACGCTCGCTGGCCGCGCAGCTGGGCAGTGGCCGTCTGTGACCGATGGAAGCGCGGCTGGGTGGCTGGCCATGACTCCGTTGTGGGTTATAGAAGCAGACCCCTGGGGGTGCAGTTGGCATGTGAGAACACACGGGTGTGAGCATGGGGCATTCTCAGGCCACTTCAGTCTGGTTTAATAATCCCCTCCTGTTGTCAGCCTCTCAGTTTTGAGAGAACAGCCAAAGCTTTGGGCACTGACACCACTCTCTGTCACCATCGCAAGTGACTTACTTAGCCTCAGTGTGGAATTCGCAAGTGGCGGCCTCACACCAGTTGAACAATTCTGTGTCCTTACTGACCTAGTCAAAGCGAGAGCCTGCTGTCTTCCAGAGCTGGCCGCGTGCAGAGCAGCTACCTCCAGAGGGCTCTGCGCCCCAGGGCACCACGGCAATGACTCCACAGGACAGAACCGCGAGAGTGCTGCGAAGCGGCCCACGGAGTAGGTGGCCGCTGGCTGGCGGTATAGACCGCTGGAAATATCTGCGTCTAACTGGTCGGGCCTTGTTCTAGGTGTGATGGCGATCAAGGACCACGGCTGGCTCTAGAATGGCCTGACTGACAGTGCCGTTTCTGCCGTCAGCTCGGAGACACTCCTCACAAGGACTCGGTGACTTCCTGGAAGAAATCTAGACGAGAGGGCCTCGGAAAGCCCAAGCTGGCCCTCCGCCGCTTAGGGCGCCTGCACACCAACTCGGAGCTGTCCCTGTAAGCACACGATCGGTTCCTTCTCTGAAGACACTTCTTCTTTCTTTCCCTCTCTCTCTCTCTTTTATTTTTTTAAATTACCGGATGGTGCATGTGAGAGAGACAGCGAGCCCCCCAATGGGGCTTGGTCATACTACGATCCTTTTTTCTTATGTTTCTAAGCCCATCAGGATTTTAGGCATGCACACACATGTGCCTGGCATGTTTTTCAAGATGTCAGGGCTGGGATTCGAACCACAGTCAGCCCTGAGAGATCTGGCTTCTATGTATAGTGCTCAACCACGAGACATGGGCCAGCTCAGGAGATATTCCATGAACGGATTTGGTCAGAGTCTAAGGAAGCAGCAGTATCAGCCACCTTTCTCATGAAACCTTCTTCTTCTCTTTTTTTTGGAGAGGTTTTTGCTATAGGGTGCGTGTGCTCACCAGAGAGAGAGAGAGACAGAGAGAGACAGAGAGACAGAAAGCAAAAAATCACTCCCCAGGTGGGATGGCCACGCCACAATCCCATCTCCTCCATTCTCCTCTTGGGATCTTGGGCATGCATGCACACACGCCCTGAGTAAGTTTAAGCCACCGGGTCCAGGACTCGAACCGCAGTCAACTACATGGGAGTCTAGTGACATAGCCATTACGCCAAATGCTGGTCCCAAACCTTCTTTATTCTAATTAAACTTTCTGTAGTAACAGAATCACGAGACAGAGAGGCACAACACTTGGGTTTGCTGAATATCAGACATCAGCCCCAAGCTCGAGTGAAGAAACCTGAAGCTGGGTTACACTTCATGAAGTGTTTCCGTTGAATACGTACATTTGTCCACCTTCTGGATAGTGGCTTCCACCCACCTAAAACCCTGGGAGATCTAGAGGGCTATTAAATTCCATACTATGGATACCCCGCTACCAGAGTGGGCGCCCAGAAAACCCACCGGAATGTCTCTTCAGTGGAAACTAGCTTATCTTTGTTATTTCAAAGCTGGTACCAACTTTGGTTATTGACAGTTTGGCCTCTGATTATAGGAGCCCATGTGGGGACTTGCAGGGGATGCTACTTAGAAGGCAGGAGTGAGCCAAGATGAACAGCGAGGTCCAGACCGGCGAGGGAGCAGGTGTGGTGAGCCGGGTCGCCACAGACTCATGGGGGGTTGGAAAAGGTCACCTAGCGGCATTTGAGCAGGGGTCAGGTAAATTCACTCACCCAAAGTCTTCATAGGTCTTAACCGAGGCCCAGAGGGGACCTTGCTTTCTGGTGGTCCCTTGATAGCACACTGTACGGGTGCGTAACCACATCTAGTGAAGAAGGGCCCTATTGGATTGTTTTAGATAAATAATGATCTATTTAACAAAATTAATTGTTATTGTTATTATTTTTTTCCCAGAGACACACAGAGAGAGATAGAGGGAAAGTGAGAAAGCAAGCCGCCAGGTCTGGGACTTGAACTGTGGTCGGCCATGTAGGAGTCCATCGCCTTAACCACTACACCACTTGCTGGCCCCGACTCTATTGGATTTAACCAGGTGGCATTGTTCAAGCAATTATTTGTACTCACATAGGTAATTCCTAGGCCTTGAGTATGTGATGTCTGGAAGCATAATATACCTCTTGTAGGCATCACTCAGGTGGGCTTTCTTTTCTTTTTTTAAAAAGAATTTTATTTAACTTTATTTATCATTATCATTTTCAATTTGACCAGAAAGAGACAGAAGAGAGAAGAGGATAAGTGAGAAAGCAAGTCGCCAGTTTTGGGGCTTGAACCATGGTCAGCCATATGAGAGTCCAGTGCTCTTAGCCACTATGCCACCTGTCAGCCCCTCAGATGGGTTTCTCTATTTGGTAACAGTCACGTTATTAACTGCAAAAGTTAGCATGTTGCCCTGATGAGTGCAGGAAAGCCAGAGTGCTGGTCTCTGAATGTGAGGGACAGCTCCCACTCTTCCCGTGGCACTTCAGAGTGACTCTGGGACACACAGAGGAGTTGGCATCAAATTGCTTCCTGAAAAGTTTTGGCATTAGCTCACAAATGTAATAACTGCTCTGTCTTTTGCTAGGGAATAAGCTTGAGCCAAAACTGTCTACCAGCCATGGACTCATGGATTTTCTTGTAAAGAAAACCAAAAAATTAGACAGTAGGAAATGAGGAGAAAGAAAAAAGGTGCACAGCTTTCATGATGGCAGAGAAGTCTTTTTTTTTTTCTTGGAGAGGTTTTTGCTATAGGGCGCGTGCGCTTGCCAGAAAGACAGAGAGAGACATAGAGACAGAAAGTGAGACATCACCCCCCCAGGGTAGATGGCCATGCCACAATCCCTTCTCCTCCATTCTCCTCTCGGGATCTTGGGCACGCACGCACACGTGCCCGGTGTGAGTTTAAGTTGCCGGATCCAGGACTTGAACTGTGGTTGACTACACGGGAGTCCAGTGACATAGCCATTATGCTAACTGCTGGTCCTGGCAGAGAATCTTTATTGCCATCTTGAGACAGCTGTCCAATGTAACTGTCCAGCCAAGATGGTGCAGGGCGTCATCTTCCAGGGAGCGCTCCCTACGGTGAGGTCGCTAATAAGTATACAACTACATGAGCACAAAGGGGCCCTTTCGAGTTTGAAATGTGAGCCCAAGTTTTGAAGCTGTGATGCCTCACTTCAGTGTGGGTGGTGAGAACTTGGCGTGGCCCCTTCTGATAGAGTTCAAGGCCAGTCTTCCCTCAACGTCATTCTGGAAGACCTAGTCTCGGGGTTCTAGACTATGAAGGGTTTGACTGTGGTCAGTGGGTCATAGAAGGCTAAACTTGGGCATAATTTGTCAGAGCCTCGCGTGCTGAGCCATGCGAGCTCAGAAGAGTGGAGATGCGTGAGGTTCTGCCATTGGGGAGAGGCCTTCCATGACTACTCATCAGGAGTGAGTTTGTGTTTCTCGTGAGAGGTGAGCTTACTGCCGTCCAGGAGCGAGTTTGTGTTTCCCGTGAGAGGTGAGCTTACTGCCGTCCAGGAGCGAGTTTGTGTTTCCCGTGAGAGGTGAGTTTACTGCCGTCCAGGCTGTTAGCAGTCCCTTCGGCCAGGGCGGTCCGATTGACCCCATTGACTTCCGCTATTCAGTTTTAAGATGTTATCTGTTCTTTAACCTTTCCAAAAGACTGAGTAGTGAGAGGGACAATGACAGTCTCATTGTGTCCGTAACACCTAATTTAATTAGTATAGAACGTGCCTAGGAAAACGAGTTCCCCTATTGCTAGAGATTCCTCTAGGAATGACTCCTAAAAGAAATACTTTTTTCCAGTAACTTCGTCGCTACTGGGATAGTACTGGCTGTCCTACACGGGAGAGCCCCTACCCAAGCGTACCTGCAGCCTGCGTGTGGATGCACCGCTGCCCCCGCCGAGGGTGGCACTGGGCCAAAGTCATTTGTGAAGCCTCAGATGGCCCACTGGCATGTGGGAGTACGTCACCTGAGGAGGTCATTGTTCTCCTAGTGCTCTGAGTTCCACATGCCAAACGTTGGTTAGAAACCATGTGAGCAGCTTTGGAATAGTCACTATGCTAATTTTTTTTAATAATGTGAATCCTTTTGTTTGTTCTGTGATGTGATGAGTTACAGAGTGCAGAGCTCTTCACAATGGAGGCTTCAAACACTCATGAAGGACCAGGTGGTCATCCAGACCCTCTCTGAGTCTACACTTCACACTGAGTTCACACCTTCTCAGACACCAGTGCTCCCCTAGTCAGAGACGTTGCACTGTTCCTGAAAAAGGGACCACGGGGAGCCGGCTTGGATAACCTCACGGAGCTCACTCACCGCACACCCTGGTATCTTAAGCACCATCTGATTTGGCGTGAAGTCTGATCTGCTTGCTATTCAGGTTCAGGCTGATAAGCACAGGTTTCTGCCTTGATGGCGGTCTGTGACGGTGACAGCAGGACTCTCCTTGGAGTCCGTGACGGATGGAAGTCCCACTAGGAGCGAGAGACCCTCACTGCCTCCGTGAACACGCCCGAGTTGCAGACTGCTCTGTGTGAGCACTTGGACGCATCTGCAGCTGTATGGCGAGCTCAGGCGAGAGCGACACGCTGTGTGGGCCGAGCTGACTTCCGCTGGAGAGTCCCCTGCTCTCCTGGCTCACTCTTGCGGTAGCAGCACACCCTGCTTGGTCTCTCCTTCTCAGCTTTTGGCATGGGACCTATCGACAGCAGTATTGGCTCAGAGCTAATAGCAATCGGCAGGACCTTGGGAGTTAGCACGTGGGCACCGTCTTTGCCACCACACTGCACAGCTGTGGCCCGCACTGGCCTGCAGAGATGACAGTGGGTTAAGCAGGTGACAGTGTCTAGGTGGAGATTTGAGAAATAAGAGAAGAATTTCATAAGATGTTAGTCCACTTGCTGAAAAACGTTGAGTTTGGTTGGAATTAAAGGACTTTTCACAGCGTGCGGCCCTTGCAAATTAAGTTCACTTTCTAAAGCCAGCTCAGACGGAGCGTCTGCCAGCCCGGCTGCTGCTGCTGCTGCTGCTAAGCAGGTCCGAGATGCCTTCGCTGCCTGCATCCGCAGGCTGCCCTGTGCAATGCACCCGCGGTGGTCTCCAGGTTCCATGTAAGAACCAAGAGCGATGACCACGTTGGCGAGGGAACAAGGCAAAAGGGTTAGTGAAACTGGTAAGGGCAAAGCCGGGGCTGTGGGAGGACCCGTTCCACTTGGTCGAAAGCCTGCTCATGAGCTTCTTTTCTTAAATTAAATTTGATTTATTATTATCGTAATTTTTATATTACATTTAATCACATATATCTTTACATCATAAGCTTCTTCCCAAGGTAAAGGTGCTTGTACTGTCTCGAGGGAGCTCATACACCGTGAGGCCACTGAGGAAAACTTCGGGACCCAGCGTTTGCAAAATCCTGCAAGTCCAAGAAAACCTCCTAATTGTTTTTCAGTTGCAGGCCAAGAAGACGTTATGTAGTTTTTATTCTCTCCGATGAGAGCAAGAATTCCTTGGGTAGTCATGTCCCAAATACTGGACTTTTTCTCTTGAAAGGAGCATGTTTTTTTTTTTTTTTTTTTTTTTGCATTGAAGCCTTGTAACCTTTACATGTAAGTTGCTGTAAAAGGTAAACTGAGTCAACCTAAGAGCCCAACAAGTCATCTACATACTAAACAAGAGAATTTGGAGGGAACCGTAGGGTTCTTAAACCCTGATGTGGTGCTGGGGGCAGATACAAGGCAGATGGAGGGAACTCATGTGCCACTGCAGTCCAAGCGCCCTGCTGGCGTTTCCCAGTAAAAGCAGACACACGTTGACTGTCTATCAGCTGAAATGCGCAAGATACGTTTTTAAGAGGCCAGCAGGTGGAGTGGGGGCGAAGGTGCTGGCTCTCCCGTGGCTGACCACAGGTTCAGTCCCAGACTTGGCCACTTGAAAATTATGCCAGACGCATGTGCATGCATGCCCCAAATCCTGAGAGGAAAATAGAGGAGAAAGGACTACCGGGTGGCCACCCCACCCACCCACGGGGTGGATTTTAACTTCCCTTTTCTCTGTGTCTCTCTCTTCAGTGAGCACACACATCCTATGGAAAAAACCTAAAACTAAACTAAAATAAAGTGAGTTCTTGAGCTTTGCCAGGCCCAAACATCATGTAGAGCCATTGGCAAAGGTCAGTGGTCCTGGATTATGAGCTTCTGTGAGGGTTCTAATTTTCTCAGTAGATTTTGAAGATTTTCTCTTGGGTTAGAGAAGTCTTTTTCAATGATGCTGAGCTCAGTTTTAGACTGTGGAGTACAGGTGGTTACAGGAGGAAGGCCTGGGTAACAGAAAAGCCTTACTTTGGAAGACGTCTGTCTAGCGTCTATCTCATCACCTCCACGGTGAAAGGCTAATTCAGCAAAGAGGTCAGTGGCTCAGTGAGCGTAGGTAGCGATGGCTAACGGGGGACGGCTGGGGTCAGTTCAGCTAGGTACAACCCTCTTCCCTCCTCTCCACGGTGCAGGCTTTTCATTTCCTTCTTAAAAAGAATCTTTTAGGGAGTAGCAGTTGGCGTAATGGCTATGTGACTTCCATGTAGTCGACTGTGGCTTAAACTCATGCCGGGCGCATGTGCGTGCGTGCCCAAGATCCTGAGAGGAGAATGGAGGAGAAGGGATTGCGGCCTGGCCATCTCGCCTGGGGGGTGATTTCTCGCTTTCTGTCTCTCTGTCTCTCTGGCGAGTGCACACACCCTATAGCAAAAACAAAACAAAACCAAAAACAAATAAAAAAACAAAACCTCTAAATAAAAAATCTTTTAAGGAGGTAGTTTTCTTTTTTTTTTTTTTCACTTAGTCTTTTAGATGCATCTGCTTACACCACTGATTCAGTGGGGCTTTTGGCCCGCTTTTCTAATATGCCTGGCAGGTTTTGTTCAAATCAAAATTTCAAATCAAAGTTATCTTAGTTCCAAACCATCTCTGGTAATATTAACCCATTTTTCTAAAACTGCACATATTCTAGTCCATATTTTTTTAAAGAATTATTTAATTTTATTCATTCATTCATTTACTTTAATTTGAGCAGAGAGAGACACAGAAAGAGAGAGAGGGAAAGTGAGAAAGCAAGCCACCAGGTCTAGGACTCAAACCATGGCCGGTCGTGTGGGAGTGCCCGGCACCTAGCCACCACGCCGCCCGGTAGTCCCTAGTCTATAATTTTTATACATGAATTAGATCCAGCTAATTCCTTAGTTTGAGAGATACCCACAAAATCAAACAAATAAATAAAAAACAACAACAAAACCCCAAAACATAACAAAAAACTCTACTCCTACCCAAGGCCTCTAACTGAATCCAGTCCAGTTAATTATTAAAACCAGTTAGGTCCAATTTGAACCCAGACCAGTCTAAGCCCTGCTCGAACTCAGGGGGCTTAGAATATGAAGGGCTAGAGCACGGGATCCGGAGCAAACTCACCCACAGCCTCTTCTTACGAGGAGCTCGGCCGGCTCCGCGGGCACTCGCTCGGCTGCCTGGTGTTGCTGGAAGCGGCTAGAGGTCTACTTCGGACCCTCAGCTCCCACGCCGAATCTGTTGGAAGGAAAAGCGCAAACTAAGCTGCACAGACTTGAACTGGACAAAGAACAATTCAAAAAGGCAGCCCCCGGAACTGGATCGGAACTCGGGTAGCCGCGTGTGCGAATAACCGTCTTAGACAAACAGGAAAGCGACCTACAGAAAGTGGACGTGAGGCGAAGAGACGGCCACTCTGGCCGCAGCTCCTGCTTGGCCTGGCTGGTGGCTGGCTGTGACTGAGGAGCACAGCGGTGTCACTGTCTGTGACTCGGCTTTTGTTACAGAAGCAGACCCCTGGGGGGTTGCAGGACTCGTGTGTGTGTGTGGGGGGGGAGGAGGGCGGGCTTTCCTAGACATGAGAACACAAGCCATGAGAGAAAATGGCGAGGAGTCGTACATCCTTAAAATGACACTGTTCTGCTCTATGAGAGATACTGACAAGAGAATAGAGAAACAAGCCACCGGGAAATATTTTGAAAACACAAGGACTTTTACCCAAACCTAAAGAACTCTTAAAATCAATAAGAAAACAAACAATTTAAAAATGGGTAGTGCCTGGAACCAGCAGATGGAGTAACAGTTATGTCACTGGACTCCCACATGGCTGACTGCAGTTCGAGTCCCGGACCCAGAGGCTTGAAACTCGTGTAGAGCGTGTGCGTGCACGTCCAAAATCCTGAGAGGAGATGGAGGAGGAATTGCAATGTGGCCAGCCCCCCTGAAGGGTGATTTCTCACTTTCTTTCTTTAGAGTGAGGACGTGTGTCCTATAGCAAAAATCTCTCTCAAAAACAATGGGGGGGGGGGGACCAGCAGTTAGCATAATGGCTATGTTGCTGGACTCCCATGAAGTTAACCGCGGTTCAAGTTCCGGACCCGGCGACTTAAACTCATGCCGGGCGCGTGTGCGTACATGCCCAAGATCCCGAGAGGAGAATGGAGGAGAGGGGATTGCAGCATGGTCATCCCCCCCGGGGGGTGATTTCTCGCTTTCTGTCTGTCTCTCTCTGTCTGGTGAGCGCACGCACCCTATAGCAAAAACCTCTCCAAAAAAACCCCAAAAAACAACAAAAAATAAAAACAAAGTGGGGGCAGGGCCAGCCTGTGGCCTGATGATTCAGGGGCTGGACCCCACGCACCCTCTTGAGTCTCAGACATAGCAGCTTGAAACATGCCAGGCATGGAGCCGGCAGGTGGCATGGATCCCACGTGGCCAACTAAATGACGCGCGTCCCTGACCCGCTGATTTGAAAACCACGTAGGGTATGTGTGCGTATGCCCTCAAAATGCAGAGAGGAGAGTGGAGAAGGGATTGCCATGAGGTCCTTCCCTGCGGGGAGGGTGCTTTCTTGATTTCTTCTGTCTCTGGCGAGTGCATGTGCCCTATGGCAAAAATCTAAAAATGAACAAAATAAAACAAACAGGCCAGGTGCATGTGTGTGCACAGAATATCCAAGAGGGAGACGTGGAAGATACGGGGCTGCAGTCTGACCCTCCCCCTCCCCCGAGGGAAATGACCCCCCCATACACGCCCTCTAGCAAAATTAAAAACAAAGGGGGGCAAACCTCTGAGCAGAGGCGACTCCCGACACCAAAGACTACAGCAAAAAGCAAATAAGCACTTGAAGTGCTGCCCCATCACTAAGGGTCCGCAAAAGTCATGAGGCAACATCACGCGATATTTAAAGAAAACATGAACATTTATTTCTTTCTTCCATGAGGGAGAGAGAAGGCAGTTCCGAAGTTTCTTACAAAGCTCAAAAGAGGCCAGCAGGTGGCCCAGAGGTTAAGGCACCTGGATCCCACATTGCGGGGTTTGAGTCATGGACCCGCGGCCTGACAGACACAGGAGTGTGTGTGTGCGCGCGCGTGCGTGTTACCCAAAGTCCCAAGAGAAGGGTACAGAGGAGAAAGGACTGAGGTGTGTTCACCCCGGGAGTGCTCTCTCCCTTCCTCTGTCTTCCTGTGGCAAGCACACATGCCTACGGCAACAACGAAAAAACTAAAAAGTGAAAAACACAGGCTGACCACCTGACCCAGAGGTTTTGCTTCAGTCCCCACACGAGCTTGCACATGGCTATCTAGCACAGCTTGCTTTGTGATTCCACCAGGGTGTCCTCCAGCCGGGAGTGTGCAAACAAGCCGTGGACCACCCAGCCATGGGATGCCATTTGCACATTCAAGTGATAAAATATCAAGGCCCGAGAAGAAATGGGTGTGTCTTCAGTGCACGCCACCAAGTGAGGGCCAGTCTTTAAAGGCCGCAGAGTCGTTCTAACTCCACGACATTCTGAAAAAGGCAACCTTGGAGAAGGCGGGAGTGGGGAGCTGTCAGAATCAAAACGGAGTAACAGCGTCGACTTGTGTCAAAAACCAAGTCAGCGTGGGGACGGCCAGCAGGTGGCATGGGGGTTAAGGCACTGGACTCCCACATTGCCAACCATGGTTTGAATTCCAGGCCTGGCAGATTGCTTTCTCAGTTTCTCTCTCTCTCTCTCTGTTTCTCTCTGGTGAGCACACGTACCCTATAGCAAATTAAAGTAACAATAACAATAATAAAGAAGCCAGGAAGGTCTGTGGAGGAGTGTTCCTGAAATGAATATGCCCGGTAACAAGAGGCTTCAGAGACCCTCCCAGAACCACAGCCCTGCACAAAGACCACCGTGACATGCCCAAGGCTGCTTCTGCGAGGACACCTCTCCGGAGGCTGCCTGTCCAACCGTACACTGATGCCATCTCAAATGAATTATCCTCGAAACCAAGGATCCGGCTCTCAGAACTGGGATAACCCCGACACCCACCCTGACACCACACCTGTGGGTTTTTAACCTAAAAGCCAGCCTGAAGCCTGTGAGGTGGTGGCCGCGCACGATCAGGGCAGGACCGTGAGCCGGGTTCCATCCCGGCCTGGCCGCGTCTGGGCTGGAGGCTCGAGTTGGCCTAAACAGACTCCTCTGCTCTATATGCTTTGCCTCGGTTTACTTCCCAGGTTGACAGCTTGGTGACCATGACAGGACTTGGCTTGACGCCTCTGGCCACCCCAGTGCTCTCTCTGGTGGTGCCAGCACGGACCCCACCTTGCCCACTGCTGGCCCAGGAAGGGAAGTCCTCCCGGAGGCTGACGGCTCTCCTCCCCTCCCCGTGGAGCTCTGGACGACATGGCATGTGGGTTACTGGGCTCTCTGGTGACAGCCCCCCTGCTCAGCCTGGGCACAAGGCAGGTCCCTGCACGGGCTGCCACACCCACCTCACAGAGGTGCCCCTCTCACAATGGGCGGCGTGACACTGGGGGTGCCTGGCGAGGCGCTGCTCCCGCTCGTCCGCCTGCTGGCTTCGGCGCGCCTGAGGCACGCAGAACTTTTGTGGCTTGCCAGCTGGCTTGGGTTTATTTTCATTTTCATCTAATTTGTTTAGGGTTTTGCCATAGAGTGAGTGTGCTCGGTGGAGAGACGGAGAGAGGCAAAGTGAGTAATCACCACCATGGGGGTGGCCATGCAGCAATCCTCCCTCTTGGGATTTTGGGCAGGCACGCACACGTGTCCAGTGTGGTTTTGGGGCTGCTAGGTTGGGTGTCAGGTCAGACTTACCGAGGCCCCCCACACTCACCCGCTGGTTCTGCTGTCAGTTTGGATCTTTTTTTTCCTCTGTGACCAACTTCTACCCTGGCCCATGTCCATCAGGCCTCACCTCCTCTGCCCAACTTTGACCACACCTGTGCCCTGCTGAGGCCTGTCCAGCCGTCTCCCGCCCTCTCCTGCATCCCATGGCGGCTGCCCAGACAGCCAGCGCTGACCCCTCATGGGCCGCAGCCCTGTCACGGGTCCTAACCCCATTTCCGCTCAGCTTTGCGCAGTGGCAGTGTCGTAGCCAATGAGGCTTATCCGAGGCGCGATTATTGCTAATTGAAAACTTTTCCCATTTCCGCGCAGCGACCAGCCGGCCCTTCTGGGGTCCAGCCCCAGCCTGTGAAGTTCTGCTGACCCAGCACTGGACCCAAGGCCACAGGAACAGTCACCAGCCTCGGTGCGGCCATAGCCCAACTGGACGGTTTTGTCCAGACCTCATTTCCTCAGAGGAAAGTTGCTGCGTGGGTGCATGGGTGCGTGGGTGCTCCAAGGAGCAGGGGTGTGGGCGGGACGTGAAGGAGCTGGGAAGGAGCAGGTGTGCCCAAAAGCTGGGGCGTGGGCGTGGGCAGGAGCCTGGGCGTAGATGTGGAGTGGCCGTAGGCTCGCATAGGAGCAGGGAAGGAGGGCGGGCACAAAGGAGCTGGGAAAGAGAGGGCCGGGGCCTTTGAAGAAGCAGGACGAAGGCATGGGCGCCGGCAGAGCAGGGAAGGAGCGCTGGTGCGGGCACGAAGGCGCAGGGAAGGCGCAACGGCACGCCGAAAACCGGGGGCGCAGGCGGGCGCAGGAAGGAGCCTGGGCGTGGATGTGGAGCAGGGGCGTGGGCGCGAAGGACGGTGGGCATGGATGCGAAGGGGCGTGGGGGGGGACGGC